TGCCCATCAAAAATCAAAAAAAAAAAAAAAAGAGGATAAATTGAGCCCAAGTTGGAGGTTGCTGTGAACTATGATGCCATGGCACTCTACCCAGGGTGACAGCTAGAGACTCTGTCTTAAAAAAAAAATAGTTTTACATCGTAAATTGCATTATGGATACCCTGTATATTGGGCCACACCCTCATATCTCATTTAGTCCTGGAAACACTGAGTCCAGGTATTTTTTAATGTATTTTGTTTTTTCATTTTATTTTATTTATTTTTTTGAGACAGTCTCAAACTGCTGCCCTTGGTAGAGTGCTCCAACTCCTGGGCTTAAGTGATTCTCTTGCCTCAGGCTCCTAAGTAGCTCCTAACTACAGGCACTCGCCACAAAGCCCGGCTATTTTTTGTTGTTGTTGTAGTTGTTGTTGTTTGGTAGGCCTGGGCTGGATTTGAACCCGCCAGCTCTGGTGTATGTGGCTGGTGCCTTACCCGCTTGACCTACAGGTGCCAAGCCTATTTTATTTTATTTATTTATTTATTGAGACAGAGTCTCACTTAGTCAACCTCAGTAGAGTGCTGTAGTGTCACAGCTCACAGCAATCTCCAGCTTTTGGGCTTAGGCGATTCTCTTGCCTGAACCTCCGAAGTAGCTGGGACTATAGGCGCCTGCCAGATTGCCTGGCTATATTTTTTGTTGCAGTTTGGCCTGGGCCAGGTTGGAACCCACCACCCTCGGTATATGGGGCCGGCACCTACTCACTGAGCACAGGCACTTCCCTAATGTTTATTTTAGAAAGGAAGTAATTAGTGCTGAGAAAGGGTAAAGGTTAGGCTGGTGTGGTGACTCATGCTTGTAATCTTAGCACTTTGGAAGGCCAAGGAGGGCGGATTGCCTTATCTCAGGATTTGGAGACCATCCTGAGCAAGAGGGAATACCTGTCTCTAAAAATAGCTGGGGATTGTGGCAGGCGCCTGTAGTCCCAGCTATTCAGGAGGCTGAGATGAGCCAATCGCTTCAGCCCAAGAGTTTGAGCTTGCTGTGAGCTGTGATGTCATGTACTTTAAGGAGGGCAACAAGTAAGACTCTGCCTTAAGAAAAAAAAAAAAGGGCTCGGCACCTGTGGCTCAAGCTAAGGTGCCAGCCACATACACCTGAGCTGGCAGATTTGAATCCAGCCCACGCCCGCCAAACAACAATGATGGCTGCAACCAAAAAAGAGCTGGGCGTTGTGGTCGGTACCTGTAATTCTGGCTACTTGGGAGGCAGAGGCAGGAGAGTTGCTTGAGCCCAGGAGTTGGAGGTTGCTGGGAGCTGTGATGCCATAGCATAGCACTCTACCCAGGGCAACAGCTTGAGGTCCTGTCTCAAAAAAGAAAAAAAAAAAGCGAGACCCCCATCTCTAAAAATAACTGGGCATTGTAGGGTGCCTGTAGTCCTAGCTACTTGGGAGACTGAGGCAAGAGAATCACTTGAGCCTTAGAGTTTGAATTTGCCTTGAGCCATGCTGCCAAGGCACTCTAAGGAGGGTGACAAAGTGAGACTCTGTCTCTAAACGGAAAAAAAAAGAAAGGGTAAGAACAGAGATTCAAACCCAGATTTTATTTCTCCCATGAGAGTTTGAGCTACCATATTCCCCTACTTCCTAGTCAATTACATGATTTATGAGCAGGGCATGCTCACTGGCTAGACTGGTCGAATATTATTTTTTTGAGACAGAGCCTCAAGGTGTCGCCCTGGGTAAAGTGCTGTAACATCACAGCTCACAGCAACCTCCAACTCCTAGGCTTAAGCAATTCTCTTGCCTCAGCCTCCCAAGTAGCTGGGACTACACATGCCCACCACAATGCCCGGCTATTTTTTTGGTTGCAGTTTTGGTTGCGTGTCATTCTGGCACGCCTGGGCTGGAGTCGATCCTGCTAGCTCAGGTGTATTTGGCTAGCGCCTTTAGCCGCTTGAGGTACAGGCACCAAGCCTTTTTTTTTTTTTTAATTGAGAAAAAGTCTCACTCTGTCCCCCTTGGTAGAGTGCTATGGCATCACAGCTCACAGCTACCTCCAACTCTTGGGCTTTAGGCGATTCTCTTGCTTCAGCCTCCAGAGTAGCTGGGACTATAGGCACCCAGCACAATGCCTGGCTATTTTGCAGTTGTCACTGTTTTTAGCTGGGCAAGGCTGGTTCTAACCTGCCATCCTTGGTATATGGGGCTGGCGCCCTACCCACTGAGCCACAGGCACTACCCTAATTTTATCTTTTTAAGGTTTCAGAATTTTGGGCTCAGTCTTTATGAATTATGAGATTCTAACCCAAATGAGTGGCGTGCTTAATGCTATTGTGGCAAGCACATAAATGCATGGCCCATGCCTTCTAATACAAAAGAACTTTTCTTTTTTTTTTTTAATTATTTATTATTTATTTATTTATTTATTTTGAGACAAGAGTCTCACTATATTGCCCTCCGTAGAGTGCTGTGGTGTCACAGCTCATAGCAACCTCCAACTCTTGGGCTTAAGAGATTCTCTTGCCTATTTTTGTTGTTGTTGTAGTTGTCATTGTTGTTTGGTAGGCCCAGGACTGGTTGGAACCCACCAGCCCTGGTGTATGTTTCCAGCACCTTGCTCACTGAGCTTCAGGTGCTGTCATTCTCTGCCTTTTCATGAAAAGAAAAGGGAGGGAGTGTGGTTAACCAAGACTACTGAGAATACAAACTTCCAAGTATCGGGACAGAGGCCATGCAAAGAGGAATGTAATTCAACTTTTATGAAAATACTGAGACAAGAGAAGTCATTTGGCTTGAGGAAATATGCATGACTTGAGAAGGGGTTATCTATCAACTGTTGACACTAGTTTGCCAAGACTTTTCTATTATGATCTTGTAAACTGTCATTCCGGAGTCCTCCAAGTGTGTCTGCATTTGTTGCAGAGATAGATTTACCCAGACAGGTGGAAGGGTCCTGACTTAAGAGTTATAAACAGCTGCAGAGGCCTGGGCTGCTCCCATAGTCTTGGTGACATGGAATGAAGACCTTCACCGTCTCCGGGCATTAACTAGCTTTAGAATAGCCCTCCAAATGGGAACGACTGTAATTTTGGTGCAGTGCACGAACCGCCCATTACAGCTAAATAGTAACATTAAAATGTAAAGAATTTCCAGTAGGTTTAATAGGGATTATATTGGCGTGCTTTCTGTTGCTGACTCATAGTGCTGCTACTTTGGGACTGTTAGGTTTCCAAATGGGACACACAGTAGGTGGTCAATAAATAAATGTCAACTTGTAGCGGTACTTTTCATCCCTTAAGGAGAGTGCCCCTACTCCCACCATAAATAAGGCAAATGAGTGAATGGCAGCCATGACAAATCTGCTCTATGTTTACTAAGATTCTAACTACCCCCAGAGTGAGCTCTTCCTTCTATCAGGTAACTTTTTTACATGACAGCCGGCACAAAGTGTACCCAGCGTCGGGCAGGTTCGCCATCTGTCCAATCATCTCCGAGGTTTTGGGGTGGAGGAGGGGAGATTTTCCCGGGACCTTCCCTGTCCAGGAAGAGGGCAGGCTTAGGCTGAGCTGTGGTCGCCGAAGCCAGTTGTGTGGCCGTAGGGTGCTTGGCACTCTAGCTAACCAATAGAAACAAAGAGATCTATTTGAATCGGCCAATGCCTGCCGGGCGTGGGCGGGGTTCGTGAGCTCTATAAAAGCTGTGGCTGGCCAGTCAGACGGTGGTGGAGGCTCCTGCAGCGGTGGCCGCTCGGGTGGTCTGGGTCTCTCGTAAACTCCTCGAGTCCGACCCTTTCAGCATTCGGCTCCCGCGCCGGGTCACCTCTTGGCGCCATGACCACCACCACCACCTTCTCGGGTGTCGACCCCAACAGCAGAAACAGCTCCCGGTGAGGCAACTGGGCCGCCCGGATCCGCGCGGGGCTGAGGGGCTGGGAGGGCCGCTGCCGGCGGGGCCGCGCTGGCTGGGCGCCGCTCGGGCGCCGGTCGTTGACCGCACGGCTTCCCTATCGCTGCGCTCGTGCCGGGGAGGGCGGCGGAGCTCTGCTGTCGGCGCGGCTTTTGTGCGGTCCGGTGAGCCCGGCGCGCGGCCCCACCCGGATTCCTGCTGCTCTCCATTCATTCCTCCCACGGCGCGAGGGGCTCCGGATCCCTAATTCTCACCGGCCCCTCCTTGCGCGGCGGGTTCTCGATAATGCTAACGTGCCGGGAGGGTTCACTTTCTGCCCTAGCGGCTAGACTGGCCCGCCCTGGGGTGTGGTGTTGGCCCCCCTGGTGCTTGAGGAGAGTCTAGGGCTCTTTGGTCGGCCCCATTGTCCCAACGCCCGGCCATGCGCTCCTGCCTTTGGCTGGACGCATATGGCTGGCCTCACGCTAGGACGCAGCGATCAGACCCTGAGACTTGACCCCTACTCTAGCCAGACCCCTACCTTTGTCGGGTTCCCGCTCCCCAGTGTCCACTCGTACCCGCCTGGCAGGTGCATTTATGGTTGGGCGGGGCTGGTCATCGCGACCTTTCACCTGCGTTCTAGGACCAACTGTTCGGCCCCTCTTGGAACTGCTTCCCCTCTCCTAACAAAGGAAAGACCCCTTCTCCCCCTCCTCATGCCTGAGTCCAGGCGGGAGGGGGAACGAGCCGGCCCCTGTGGGTTGTCTGCGCTCAAACCTTCGGACCTCGGTCTTGTATCCCACCTTCTTTGCCCCCCCCCCCTTTGACGTTTGCCAAATGAGTTCATCCCTGGCCCTGGTTCCCTTGCTGGAGGAGGTTTCCTGTTCTTGGGCGGGGCCAGAGACATCCATTGTCTCTTCCGTAGTATCTCCACCTGGGAACCCTGGGCCTTGACTTTCATCCTACAACATTTTGGGGAGGGGACAGTGCGCACAGTGTTTGGACTGGGGCCCTTTTCCAAGTCCTTGCTTAACTTGGTGAAAGGATTTGGATTCTGTGGAAGGTGTCCACATTGTCTCAGCTAATTGCACACTATTCTTTAAGGTGGGTTACAGGCGTACCTGGGATCTTCCTCAAGGCTTGGAGGAAGCTTAGATCCCACTTCTTCTGGGCCATTTTCCATTGGTCACGACCTGCAGTCATGTGTGGCCAGCCTTAGGGTCCTGGCCAAGTGGCACAAAGGGAGCCATTTTGTTGGGCTAAGAAGGCACGTGAAATAGCAATATCTCACAGGGGTTAGAGAACTTGGGAACAAAAAGCTCTCCTCTGCAAATGAGTCTCAGGAGGAAGCATTGGAAACGACATTCCTTTTCAACTCATTTTTTCCAGTTTTTCAATGAAGAAAATAGTGCATAAAATTGAAAAAAATAAATGAGTGCTTACTGGGGGATGGGGAACTTGAGTAGCATAGATGGGTCACTCCCTTTTTGTTGTCATCTTTCCTATGAGGTAATTTTCTCAGAGGACCCTGGAGCAAATTGAGCCAAGGTTCTTCATTTTGTGTTAGGAGGTCAACTTTCTGCTGGTCACACTTCAATTGTTGGAATGATAATGTGCAATCTGGGGTTTATCCTTTGGGGTTGAGTTCAGTATATGCTTTGTAAAGAATTTCAGTAACCAGGTCAAATGGATCTTCACGTTAGTTTTCTTTTTTTGGTATGTACATTTGAAATATGAGACAAATGATTTTTGGTCCTACAAAATAAATGTTTTATGTTTCCTTTTGTCATCAGTTTTCCTCCAATATTGTGATCCAGGGATGTAGTAGCATTACCATTTTATTTACTCTTCATATTTCCTTTTTCTATAATTCCACCTAATTCTCATTAAGTACTTTTCTCCAGTACCATTCTCCTGGTTCCATAAACTCATTGTGAATATAGTCTGGTAGGGAGGGATCTGCAAAGATTATATGGAAACTCGGATTTAAAGAAAGAAGAAAGAAAAATTGCTTTCAACAGCACATGGACACATTTTTGTTGAGTTTTAAATATGTAATCCTGGTTTAGTTATCATGTATGTGGTTCAGAAAGAATAGTAGGATATTAAAAAAATAAAATTGGAATACTTTCTGTCTCATGATCCAAATCCTTTGTTTGGGGATGTCTCCCTATTACAAATGGTCTCTATAACACTGACGTCATCCAAGTAGGTTATTACCTGTTATTGCAAGAGGAACATGGACCTTTAAAAAGTTGGACTGGTCAGAGCTTTGACTTGCTTTTAAGCTGGTGTTTGGGGACTAGTGTCTTTTTCTTTCCTTTCCTTTCTTTTTTCAAGGGCAAAAAATATTTCTGAGCCTACCAGCCTTCTCAGATGAAGGTTTTCATCTGGCCATAATAATTAATGAGGTTTTTAATTATGGTTAGTAAAGAAAATGATTCTAATCTCTAGGGAATGGAGAAGATGATGTATTGGTTAATTTTGATTATAATCTGTCAAGTGTCTTTGTTGACTAGGGGCACAAATGATAAAAACCTAATGGCTTCAAACTTCAACATGAAAACCCTATTAAGAATTGATAACATGGCTCGGCCCCTGTGGCTCAAGCAGCTAAGGCTCCAGCTACATACACCTAAGCTGGCGGGTTCGAATCCAGCCCAGACCTGCCAAACAACAATGACAGCTGC